GAACAGCAGGATCTATCTGGACCTGCGCCCACATCTGGAGAAGATGAAAAAAGATGGGTTGGAAAAGAGTGCAAAAAAAAAAAAGAGTATGGCAAAAGGTATAAAGTCATGAGTATAATGAAAGAAAGGACATAAAATAAGGTGAAAAGAGGAAAAGCATAATCTAGTACAGAAGTAAGAGCATATAAAACCTGAAATGGGGTCAGCTGATGTAATACTTGTATCTATTGAGGCGTGAAAGTAAAGTATGGGCAGTTCTAAAGAAAAAGACTTTGACACTGGTATCATTAAACATTACCTGTTAGCTTACACCACACCCCAGACAGGAGACCGCTCCGTCTCTGCATCACAAACTAATACTGACAGATAAATCTCTTTCACTCATGACCTGCGCTGAATGGCAGAGCGTGAGGCGTGTATCTGACATCTAAGTGGACCCTTGGTGAGACATCCAGTCTTTTTCAGAGAGAATTAGAGTAACAGTAGGCACATAACAGAAAAGCTAAGTGGAAAGGTAGAGAGACGAGGGACACAAAAAAGGGAACAGTTGTGAAGAAGAGTGAGGCAAATGAATGATGAGGTCTGGCTCTTTGCTAATGCTCCGGTGAGTGATCGCTCTTCTACTGTCCCAGCCAAGGATGAATGGCTCTCTGTGGACAAAAAAACTCCCAGCCTCAGTCCTGGGTGAATCTGATACTCGGCACGCTCTTCGCGACTGTTTTTCACATCGCCCTCGGCAGGCTTTTACTTCAAACTTCAGCTGTGCCTTTTAACAGATATACAGTCAGTCAATGGACTGCACCATAGGCAAATCAAAACTGTGTTTTTATGTGTAAGAGTGTTTGATGCATTTCAAATTCAGATGCTTAAGTGAAGCATTGTTTCTTTTGTTTTTTTTAAAGTCATTTTGTGTTTCACTGCTAAGCCAGAAAGGAAGTTATAAATATGGAATTTCAGTTGATGCACTTTGGAAAGCATTTAGGACTTCACATACAAGATCTAGAGGTTAGTTACAATAAAATGACATTTTAGCCATGTTGCCTGCTTTTTTTACTCAGTTGAATATTTCCATCCAAATGGCTTTATTGCACACGGAGCCCTGGTATGAGGTTCCTCGTACTAATGGCTGATTTGTGTTATCTTAACCCGCTGCTATCAGTAAATTCCTGGCTTATTTTTTTCAATCTTTTCTCTAAAAATTTCTGCCTTTTCATACGTCAGGTGTGATATCAGCGTTCCCAAAGAAAGTAACCACATTAGTGGTTTTGCAAGATTTAGCCCATTAACTGCAAATTGTGTATACTTAGCATTACTGCCAAAGTGAACCACAGTTCAGGCATTTACCACCTTCCAGGCAGCCATTAGTTTCTCTTTGCTCCACTAAAATGTAAAAGATCAACTTGCAAAACCACTATTATTGTCCTTTCATGTCATATCGAGGACAAGGAAATGAATCTTTTTGGACTTTTTGTTTACAAAACAGATTCTCTAATAACTTGACTATAAATATGCACAAACCCACAGAGAGACTCAGATGTTAAAAGGTACAGACGGGTGTCTGTTTTTGTGTTACTATGTAGCTACATGTTTACCTCCAGGAGGTACGATAAGGAGAAGTTAAGCAGAGGCGAAGCAGGCTGTTCATGGAGCACAGAGCAGGCTCCCTCGTTGGAGCGATTCGTCCCTGGCAGCAACCCTTTTCTGGCCTACCAGACCCCTTGATTTATGAAGACATGTCGAGTGTGTGTGTTTACAAGATTACCTTATTGGCTTTAAACCTGTGCTACTTTTTTTGTAAGCCGAGATAAGAGCTGTAGGTTACGGCAACAAATTGGAGGGGGAATTTCTGATATCTTATGGCATCCATCCTGCCGGCCTGTGCAGTCTAAACTAAACACTGGTGCCATACTGTCAGATGGATTGACAGAGGAAGAAATGACTGATTTAGATGACCCTGTAAGTTCATGTCTTTTCAGGATTGTTGATTTGATGCTACACATCTCCTTTAAAGATATTGTCATGTGCTCCATTCTTAAAGTTTTAACTCTGCATTTTTTTTATGTCGCACTTTGGCTTTTGAACAACACAGCCACTGTACTGTATACGGTTTGTAGCAGCATGAAAGCACAAATCATTTTGTCTTTGTTTTATAGCTCCCGTGGTTTATGTGAAAGTGAGCTTTTGAGCCATTTTCTACCACAGTCTTGTGTTTTTGTCTTGCATATTTTTCCAGCATGAAGAATCCATACCATACTGTTTGGGTTTTTACATTTTAGTGCGTGGAGAATCAATGTGCTGCTCTTCTTTTTCTTCCCAGACTCCCTGTGCAGGTTTTTTTTTCCCAGTCCAAGTCCATTAAAAAAAAAAAAAGAGTATTTCAATACTGTAACCCATGTGTGTCTTATAAGCCCAGCAAATTTAATTACACCTCCTGTGTTGCCCTACTTATGGTAGAACATCCTCTGCCCTGTCTTTATGGAGACATACCTTTTGGGGTAAATATAGAGGTGACATGTCCAAGTGGGCAGTCATGGATGTTTAATTATAATTAGTGAAAAAATTGGGATCATCATATATACAAGCACATGGACAATGGCCCAAATATTGTGACCACAGGTGGCTAATCCATCACAGACAGCTGGGAAGATATGATGAACATTCAGACATGAACCTAGATCCTGAAGATAGCATAGTCTCAACATTGTACTCAATAGGAAGTCCCAGCGATGATCTAAATCCCCCTTAGGTGTAAACACAGCCCAAAAAAAGAGGCACATTATAACCCCTCAAATCCACGACTGTCTCGCCATGGTAATGCAGCAACTGTAAATGAGCTCTACTAATATTACCATGTCTTAATTTCCTATAGGAGAAACAGTATGAGTCAAGGTGGTAGTGTTCATCTGTAGCTAATAGGTAAGTGTAATGATGAAGACATGTGTTGCTGAGTTGGAAGGAAGACGAGCCGGATGTCTGCTACGGTGGTCCTGTCCTCTGTGGGGTTCTGGGCCAGAATGCAAGATTCAGATGTGTGACAAAATCATTAAATAACAAGCACAGACATAAGGAACGTGTCTTTTACTTGCATATTTTATGATTTGAAATGACTTTTCAGAAGCTAGCAGGGAGGGAAAATCCTGTGGCAACACAAAAACATACATATCTGAAGAAATGCAGAAATGTTTATACGATGAAATTTGTAATTGATGGCTGTGGATGGTGGTGGCTCAGATGGGAGAGCAGGCTGTTCACCAGTCAGAAGTTTGGTGGATTGATCCTCCTGTCCACGTGTTGCTGTATCCTTGGGCAAGATACTGAACTCCTGAGTTTTGTGTGTGTGTGAGTGTTAGATAAAAGTCCTTAGGTGAAGATAAAAAGCACCGTATGAATGTGTGGGACCTGGTGAAATAGACTTGTAGTAGAAAGTGCTTTGAGTGCTGCAATTGAGTTGAAAGGCACTATATAAATACCAATCCATTTACCATGTATATTGACTGGTCATTGTAGCCATGTTTGATAATCTAAGTGTGTTTTCTGTTTGTAGTCTGGGTTCTGGATTTGCTTGGATCTGTGTGGAGACAAAAGAATGATAGCAGCCACCATAATTAAGTTTTGAAATCATCAGCTATAATCTGACACTGGTTTAGCTTTTTCTTATAGAGTTTTGTCCTCATCAGTAGGCAGTGACTAGAACAGGAAGTGTTAGCCCAAAAATCTGCTGGCTGCACTGAGTGTGGTAAGACCAGGTGTTAGCCAGGGCTGTAACTTCTAAAATGTTTTCTTATAAAATTACTGCTTATTTCTTAAACAAAAAATATCCAATATTCTCCAAGTCTGAAAATAAAAGCTGTTTTTTTCTATATAATACTGTGTCTTAGACAAGCTTCCTTTGTCAGAAAAAAATAAAAACCTAAATCCAAGATTTCAGATGTTGTAAGTTACTGTTGTTGATTTACCGTAAGAGAAGCGACTGTACTACTGAGAGGGAGCGATGTCGTGAGGCCTCCTGGATCTTGGCTCACCTTCAAGGCTTGGACATCTGAGCAACAATGTTACTTTTAACAAGGACCATAAATGCCACCAAACAAAGTTATGGAGCCGTGCAGAACTTCAGTCAGAAGCAGCACCCCAGAGAACACAGGCCGTTTCCTTTTTGTGTTTTGCAAGGAAATCTTTGTGGTATTATAAATGTTTTAATAGAATTTGTCAGCACATACGGGTTAATGTATATTTATGTGGTGGGTGCTTTTCAGTTTGTGTGGTAAAACAAAAAGGATGTTAGGTAAATATGAGCAAATGGGTCTGAGGTTGGGCCATGCAGACCTGTTTAGAGGAAAGAAATAGAGAAATTTTCTGAGGTGTATCTAAGTGGTTTTCAAGTCGTGGTGTGTGTGTATCAGTCTGAATCATAGTTCAGTGTGATATGAAAGCCATCGTGTGCCACTTGACATTTTCACATCCATTAGTGCCTTGTTTGAAGCCATAAACATCCACATTCTCTTCTCTTCTCTTCTCTTCTCTTCTCTTCTCTTCTCTTCTCTTCTCTTCTCTTCTCTTCTCTTCTCTTCGCTTCTCTTCTCTTCTCTTCTCTTCTCTTCTCTTCCCCTCTATATGCATGGTTTCTTTTGCCAGCTTTTCAAACACACCATTGGGGAGATCTATTTTTTTTACATACCACAATCTGCGGTATATAAAAGAAGAATTGCTCTCACAGATGCTCGTTTTTATAGTAGTCTGGAAATCATAACAAGTAGTGCTATGGTGTGTGATATTTGGACAAGCGCAGATGTATGGGCCTATGAGGTGATTGTGTTATGGGACATTATTGTGATAACAGAAAGGCCCTTAGCTCGTATATAATAGTCATGACACATGTAGGATTTATTTCATGCAGATTGTGGGACCTGCTGGATGTGATGGTTTTTGAAATCCTTATGTGTCTCTTAGGCTAGTTGGCACTGGCGAAGCATCTGTCTTACATTGGTCTCTTTTCCCCTCAGGTATCGGCCACAGATGAGGACCGTGGTTCTTTTGGTACTATAAGCTACAACCTGGGTTCAAGCTCTGGAAACACATTGCCAACCCAGTTTACCATCAACAAGGAGACTGGCCAACTTTGCACCAGCACAGCTCTGGACCGGGATGAGGGACTGGACAAGTTTGACCTGACTGTCACAGCAATAGATGGAGTAAGTAACTACAGAAAATCGTTGTAAGCTCTGCAAGGTTGAGATCTTACCAGAATACTCCTTGAAACATCAAGTGACATTTGAGGAATATGCTTCATTACTTTCTTGCAAAGAGACAGGAGACAGGATGATAAATTTTAATGTGGGAAAACTAGTAGCACCATCCTGCAAAACTGCAATATGTATTTCTTATATTTGGATAGATCCCAGTTTTTCTCGATTGCTTTGATGCAATGTTCACATCAGTTTATAGGATGGCAGTGAGACTTAGGGATAGGTTAAAACAAAGGTAGATAATCCTTTAAAGGGAGCAGATGGAAGAAGAAGAAGCAGTAGGTGTTTTAAGAACTGCATTAAGACTGGTGAGAATTACATTCCTGATGTGAGAACTGCATGTTAAATGTGAGAAAAAGTGTAACGACATATGTGTTAATTAGTGATCCTTAGAGATTCCGTTGGAAATTCCTGTTTTCAGAGAAAATAAAATGTGCTTTTATGTGTTCCTCGTGCTAAGCTAAGCTAACCAGCCACAGTTACATATGGAGCATTTCAGCTACCTCTTTGAATCAAAGCAAATGCACATTAAATGCTGAAGTAATCCCTCATGCTTTGCATGTTTTTGCAATCAAAGCCTAATTATTTGTAACTGAAATAGACTTCTGATGGAGATGGAAAAAGTCAAAGGCTCGAACGTCAACGAAAGTCACGGCATTAGTTCTGTAGCTAGATGAGGGATATTTCAGCTGATTGAAGTTGCTTCATGACAAAACACGTTGCCTGTTGCATATGTAATATTTCTCCTGATCAAAGTGACAGGGTTAAAGCAAATTAAAGAAGTCTAAAGCTGCACTCGAGTAAATCTGATCAAAGTGACAGGACGTGTTTAATGAGGACACTATCCAGTTCCTCGGCAGCTGGGCAAAACAATCAGAGGGAACTCCAAGAGGGATAAGGTTAAACTATCAGTTATTCCCAAAGGATTGACTTAAATAGGAATTGAAACTCCTATTTCAATAGTACATGTAATATACCATTGAATCTCTTGATCATTGTTAGCTTACATAAGGTAATAGAAACGCAAGAATTGTTGTAAATTTGTTATTGTTAGTCATCGTGGTCCTGTAGTGTTACCTGCTCATTTCCAAATACTCAGCTCGCGTCTGCCCCTTGTCTCAGCTGTTTCTGTTTTTAATGGTCTCATAAA